TGTGCGTGCGTGAGTGTGTGTGCGTGAGTGTGTGTGCGTGAGTGAGTGTGTGCGTGTGTGCGTGCGTGAGTGTGTGTGCGTGCGTGAGTGTGTGTGCGTGCGTGCGTGCGTGCGTGAGTGTGTGTGTGTGTGTGTGTGTGTGCGTGTGTGTGAGTGTGTGTGTGCGTGCGTGCGTGAGTGTGTGTGCGTGCGTGCGTGCGTGCGTGAGTGTGTGTGTGAGTGTGTGTGTGCGTGTGTGTGAGTGTGTGTGTGCGTGTGTGTGAGTGTGCGTGCGTGCGTGAGTGTGTGTGTGTGTGTGTGTGTGTGTGTGTGTGTGTGTGTGTGACACCACTGACTTCACGGGTCGCAGGGGTTAGTCTAGTCAGTGAGAACTTCTGGACATACACTGAGTTCGTCAGAGGAGATGGAATTCCACCCCTATGCACACCCAGTTTATTAGTAAAGTTTTATTGGTAAACGGCCACACCCACTCGCCCCATATTGTGTCCATGTATGGCTGTCATGGGGAGGATTTGGCCACAGCTATCCTTCCCTTTGACGACATGGATGTCGCAGCCCCCGGAACTGGGGTTACGGGTGCGTGGTGAGCCAACCCTGGGTCCTGCCTGTGCTCTCAACGCCAGAGCCATCTCCCAGACCCAAGCTTCTCCTTAGGACAAAGTTTTGTGACACTCAGCTCAGAAGCAACTGGCGGGGAGGACTGTCCTCTCAGGTATTTTGGAGGTTGAGGCAGGATGATCACCAATTCTAGACCAGTCTGGGCAAAGAAAACCAGGACTGGAGACATAACTCAGGGGAGAAGCCCCGCCCAGAATCCCCAGTGAGGGGGCGTGGTCAGGGGGGAGCCCCGCCTAGAATCCCCAGTGAGGGGGCGTGGTCAGGGTGGAGCCCCGCCTAGAATCCCCCAGAGAGGGGCTGGGGGCGTGGTCAGGGTGGAGCCCCGCCTAGAATCCCCCAGTGAGGGGCTGGGGGCGTGGTCAGGGTGGAGCCCCGCCTAGAATCCCCGGGGAGGGTCTGGGGGCGTGGTCAGGGTGGAGCCCCACCTAGAATCCCCAGTGAGGGGCTGGGGGCGTGGTCAGGGTGGAGCCCCGCCTAGAATCCCCCAGTGAGGGGCTGGGGGCGTGGTCAGGGTGGAGCCCCGCCTAGAATCCCCAGTGAGGGGCTGGGGGCGTGGTCGGGATGGAGCCACACCCAGAATCCCCCAGTGAGGGGCTGGGGGCGTGGTCAGGGTGGAGCCCCGCCTAGAATCCCCAGTGAGGGGCTGGGGGCGTGGTCAGGGTGGAGCCCCGCCTAGAATCCCCCAGAGAGGGGCTGGGGGCGTGGTCAGGGTGGAGCCCCACCTAGAATCCCCAGTGAGGGGCTGGGGGCGTGGTCAGGGTGGAGCCCCGCCCAGAATCCCCAGTGAGGGGCTGGGGGCGTGGTCAGGGTGGAGCCCCGCCTAGAATCCCCCAGAGAGGGGCTGGGGGCGTGGTCAGGGTGGAGCCCCGCCTAGAATCCCCAGTGAGGGGCTGGGGGCGTGGTCAGGGTGGAGCCCCGCCTAGAATCCCCCAGAGAGGGGCTGGGGGCGTGGTCAGGGTGGAGCCCCGCCCAGAATCCCCAGTGAGGGGCTGGGGGCGTGGTCAGGGTGGAGCCCCGCCCAGAACCCCCAGTGAGGGGTGGGGGCGTGGTCAGGTCGGCCCCGGGTGTCCGCCCCTCACCCCCCTGCGGCCGGTGGTCCCCGAGGTGGAGCACTGACGTCACCGTCTGTCCTCAGTTCCCCCTGGAGCTTCCTCTGGGGCAGCTGCCTCCGCAGCACCGCCGGAGTCTGAGTTCCAGCTTCCGGCCCAGGGCAGCGCCCCCTCCGACTTCCTGTCCTGGCCCCGGGTCCGCCCCCCGCCGCCCCCGTGTCCTGTGCGCTGTGTCCGCAGCTGTGTCCAGCGGTCTCTGGTCTGCACGGGCCCGGCCTGCAGCCGGCAGGACCACCGGATGGCGCAGTCCTGATACCGGGGATACTGAGGCACGAGCGTGGCTGGGGTGGCAGAGCCGCCGGGGCCGTCAGGCCGGGGCTCCTGCCTCGGTTTCCCTCCGACGCCGGGCGGGCGGGCGGGCGTGTGCGGGCAGCGCTCGGGTGGCAGCAGCCGGTGCCCACGCCCAGGCGCGTGTGCCAGGCCCGCGGGCAGCGAGGCCGGGGTGCGCTCGCCTCCGCTCAGCGGCTTCCCTGGCTGGAGGGAGGGGTGCAGGCCCGTCCCGCCCCCTCACCCCCAAACTGGAAGTTCTGCTGACTGTCTAACTTCCAGCAGGAGGGAGGGAAGGGGTCTCACAGAGGCCGCGCCTCCGGGTCGCCAGTGGGCGTCGGTCCATCCGGTCTCCATTGCGAGAGCCAGAGCGCCGGAGCGCGCCGGCCTCAGTTTCCCTGCCTGACAAAGGGAGGCGGCGGTGCGGGGAGGTGGGGGCACTGATTGAGCGTCCCCCCTGCAGCGCAGCGCGGGTCGGCCCGGCCCCCCACCCCAGCCCACCCCCCACCCCCCCCACCCCCCCACCCCCCCACCCCCCACCCCAGCCCACCCCCCACCCCAGCCCACCCCCCACCCCCCCACCCCACCCCCGCTCAGGGAGGCTCAGAGACAGCGGTGCCCAGAGCCACACAGCGGATCCAAGCCCAAGTGAGGGCAGCGCCAGGAATAAAGATGGAGTCCGCGACATCAAGGGCAGCTGCCTGCGGCGACCAATCAGCGGCCGTAGAGCCGCACTCTGGCCAATCAGAAGCCAGGTCAGAGGGACCTCAGCCAATAGTCTATCCTGAGGAATCGGGTCCCGCCCCCAGGTGACAGGCAGTGGGAGGAGCTCGTCCGCAGCTCGTGAGCGGCCGGGGTCCCCGCCCGCGCAGGACGGACGGACGGACGGAGGGACGGTCCCTGTTCGTTCACACGCTCCTCTCTGCTTTGGAGTCGGAGCCTCACGTAGCCCAGGCTGGCCTCCGACCGCCGTGTAGCCGAGGACGAGCCTGAGCTCACGCCCGACCCTCCAGGTCCCAGCGGGTCATCTGAGGCTGAGGGGGCTCGGGAGGCCTCCGCTGGGGGCTGTAGCCGGGGATAGCTCGCGCGTCCACCCGTGACAGTAGCCGGGGATAGCTCGCGCGTCCACCCGGACAGTAGCCGGGGATAGCTCGCGCGTCCACCCGTGGCAGTAGCCGGGGATAGCTCGCGCGTCCACCCGGACAGTAGCCGGGGATAGCTCGCGCGTCCACCCGGACAGTAGCCGGGGATAGCTCGCGCGTCCACCCGTGACAGTAGCCGGGGATAGCTCGCGCGTCCACCCGTGGCAGTAGCCGGGGATAGCTCGCGCGTCCACCCGTGGCAGTAGCCGGGGATAGCTCGCGCGTCCACCCGTGGCAGTAGCCGGGGATAGCTCGCGCGTCCACCCGTGGCAGTAGCCGGGGATAGCTCGCGCGTCCACCCGTGGCAGTCACTCCGGAAACACGTGCCCACGCCTGCACCCCCGGCCGCGAGGCTCAGGCACAAGGGTCCGGAAAGGTCAGCCACGGCTACGCGGCAAATGGGGCAGCCTGGGCTCAGTGACCAGAACTTGTCCCCAGGCGGAGACGGTGGAGCGCGGCCGTGGCGCTGGCCCGGTGCGCGCGCAGCTCGGGGAACCCTCGCAGCGCTGTGCGGAGTCCGCCTTTTCCTTCCGCGGTGAAGAGTCGAAAGTGGAACCCGGCGTGGGCCGCGGGTCCGTGGGGCCCAGAACCCGGCGTGGGCCGCGGGTCCGTGGGGCCCAGAACCCGGCGTGGGCCGCGGGTCCGTGGGTCCAGAACCCGGCGTGGGCCGCGGGTCCGTGGGTCCAGAACCCGGCGTGGGCCGCGGGTCCGTGGGGCCCAGAACCCGGCGTGGGCCGCGGGTCCGTGGGGCCCAGAACCCGGCGTGGGCCGCGGGTCCGCCCGGTTCGAGCCTCCTCGCCCTCTCTGTCGGTAGCCCAGGCTGGCTCTGACCCTGCAGGCTAGCCCTCCTGCCTCGGCCTCCGGGGCGTCTCCAGGACGGCGTCGGTCGGTGACACGCCGACTCTCCTGCCTCAGGCCCCGGCCCCTCCCCACCACCAGCTCGCTCCGCGGTTTGCCCAGGGCGCGCTCTGTGTAGCCCAGGCTGCTCTGGGGGGCGCCACCCTCGGCCTCAGTTTCCCCATCGGTAACAGGAGGGCGACGAGGAAGGCATCGCAGTGACCAAATGAGTCGGTATGTGAGAGGCCCGGTGGCGCGGGGCGCGAGGACCGGGAATTCACGCTCATCCCCAGCTACCCACCGAGTCCCAGGCTAGCCTGGGCTACGAGACCCTGCCTTAAAGAAACTTATACACCGGGCTTAGCGTCGGTTAAACACAGCACGCCTGCGGGCGCAGGACCCGGACCGGCCCGTTTCACAGACGTGCAAACGGAGGTCGCAGCAGCGCGGACTAACCACCCGGAGCAGCACCCCGGCGGCCTGGCGATGGCCGACGGCTGCCCCTCACGCCGCAGCCCCGGCCGCTGCCTCCCCGGGACCCCACTAACAGTCCCGACGCCCCTCCGGCACCCCGGGCCCGCGGCACTTAGAGGCAGAGTCTCACTGTGTGGCCAGGGTCGACTCGAACTCACAGACGCGCCCGTCCGCCTGCGGTTAAGGCGCAGGACACGCGGAGTCTGACCTTGGCCTAGGCTGACCCTGAACTCCTGACCTCCTGCTTTACCTGTGAGGGGGATGTGGGGGAGGGTGACGCCACCCCGACCACGCCCCCAGCCCCTCACCGGGGATTCTGGGCGGGGCTCCACCCCGACCACGCCCCCAGCCCCTCACTGGGGATTCTGGGCGGGGCTCCACCCTGACCACGCCCCCAGCCCCTCACTGGGGATTCTGGGCGGGGCTCCACCCTGACCACGCCCCCAGCCCCTCACTGGGGATTCTGGGCGGGGCTCCACCCTGACCACGCCCCCAGCCCCTCTCTGGGGATTCTGGGCGGGGCTCCGCCCTGACCACGCCCCCATCCTTTTTTGGGGGGGGACACAGGTCCAAACATCTTGCCCCCACCGGTCTTGAACTTGACATCCCCCTGCCTCCAGCCTCATCCCGGCCTGCCATCCTGACCCCCAACCCCTCTTCTGTGTTCTGGCCTCTGTCGGAGGTTGGGGGTCAGGCTGGTAAGGAAGGATGAAGGGGAGGAGGGGCGGCCCGCACCCTCACAGTCTGACAGGCGCCCGCCCGTCCTCCCCACGGGACCGCACCACGGAGCTCCGGCGACGGCAGTGCCCACGGTGCGCTGCTGGCTCCTCCATGCTGCTCCGCCTCAGGGAGGTGAATCACCCTCTCTGAGCCCCGGGGAAAGCAGGGTTGCAGCGGGGACCAGGGGGAGGAGCTGAGGGGCGGAGGCCGCGCGTGGCCAGGCGTCAAGCAGGTGCAGACTGGGCAGGGTCCGAGTCCCCCGGGGTGCCCGGGGCCCCCGCCCTGGGCTGTTGTCCATCAGCTCCCCGGGGGAGCTTCTGACCCGGGGCCCGGGGCCGAGGAGGATGGGGGTGTGTGTGGGGGTGCAGGGGTGCGGGGGAGCGCCGGGGCCGAGCGGGGCCTGCGGCGCCGTCCCCCCCCCCCCGCCCTGCGGACTCCCCTGTCAGCGGCGCCGTGCGCAGCCCGGGGTCGGCCGCACGCGTGTCAGCGGCCGCGGGTGTGCACGAGCGCGCGCGCGCGCGCCCCGCCCAGCCGCGGGAGGAGCCCCGGCGGCCGGGGATGCGGGCGCTGACGGCGGAGCCGCGGCAGCCTCGGTCTGCAGCCGAGGACCGGCCGGAGCCCCGGCTGGCGGGGGAGCGGCGGCGGGGGGCGGGCCGGGGGAGGGTCGGCGGGCGGGGCGGGCGGCTCCCCACGCGCCTCCCCACGCGCCTCCCCACGCGCCTCCCCGCCGGCGGCCGTCGCCTCGCCGCACAGCGCCATGGTACGTCTCCGCCCCCGTTCCCACTCCGCGCGGGGGGGACCTTCCCGGGGCGCTGCGCGTGGGGTCGGGGGGGGGGGCGCTGCGGTTTCTGGGAAGAGGGAGGGGGAGGCGCGGCCCGCGGCTTCCTCCCGCCCGCCCTCGGGGGCGGAGCCGCGCCTGGGCGCCCCGGGCATCGCCGGCGCCGAGGGTCCCGGGGCGGACGCCGGGCTCCGCTCGCCGGCCCCGGCCCCCCCCCCTCCCCGTCCCCACCCGCGCCCGGGACTCGCGGCGGCGGCGGCGGCGGCGGCGGCGGCGGCGGCGCGCGCAGCTTAGCGGAAAATGGCCGCGGCCCCGGTGGCCCCGCCCACCGCCGCCGTCCGCAGCCCCCGGCGGGCGCTGCACTCGGGCGGGGGAGGCCGCAGCGGCGCGCGGGCGGGCGGGCGGGCGGGCGCGGGGTGCGCGTGCGCGGCGGAGGCTCCGCACCGGGCGCCCGGGGCCGCCGCAGCCGCGTCCTTGGCGGCTCGGGCGGGGAATCCCCGCGCGATTTTAGCGTTTCGTGTCATTTTCTAAATATAGACCCGCAGGGCCCAGCCGGCCGCCGCCGCCGCCGCCCTGACCTCTCACCCCGCGTGGGGACTTTGGAAAAGGGGAGCCCTGCAGGGGGGTGCGGGAGACAGGGGTCCCCGGCCACAGCGCCCCCGGCCACAGCGCCCCCCCGCAGCCCGGCCTGCACCGGTGCCCGGTCCAGCCACTGCACCAGCCCTGAGGGACACCCTGCTTCCCCTCCTGCAGCCGCACGCCGCGGGGTCCCCTCCCACAGCCTCAGTTTCCCATCTGCAACACGGGAAAGGCCCTTCTGGGGACCCCCCAGCCCTGTCACCACCCTGTCTGTATGGGAGCCTGGCACAGCCCTGGTTGGGGTGACCCCTGTGCCCCTCTGTAGTGACACCTTGGAGGGTGGAGTGGGGTCAAAGTGAAGCACTCTGGGAACTTTATTCTCAAAAAGTTTGTTTAGGGGGAGCCGGGGGCGTGGTCAGGGTGGAGCCCCGCCTAGAATCCCCAGTGGGGGGCTGGGGGCGTGGTCAGGGTGGAGCCCCGCCTAGAATCCCCCAGTGAGGGGCTGGGGGCGTGGCCAGTGGCCTAGCCTGCAGAAGGCCCTGGGTTTGGCCCTGGAAGAGCAGGTATGTTACGGAAATATCCACAGGGAGGTCACTCCCACCCTGCCCGTTGTCCCTGGAGGGTCCCCAGTCAACCTCTCTGCTCCAGAGCGCAGGCGTAGTCTTGTGCGAGGCACATAGTCAGTCCTTTAGAAAGGACGCGCACAGGCGCACACGTGTGTCCTTTTAAAGCTGCCTGTCTTCCCAGCACTCTCAAGTACAGGCGGCAAATCCGGAGTTCAAGGCCAGCCTGGGCTTCCTGGACCCTGGCTGAGTAAACCAACACAAAAAGAAAGTGAAACTCCTCTTTGCGGGTTGAGTTCTGCAGCTGTGGGTCTCCAGTAGGGCCGACTGGGGACATTGGGACTTGTCACTGCAGCTGGAGTGGTTGGAAATCAGGGAGTCTGAGACATCCTGTCCCAAACTCCCACAGTACTGGGTTAGTGGCAGCAATTTCTGAGTGCGGCCCTACCTGGGTGACCCTCGAGACAGCTCCAGAGCACAGCCCACCCTCCCCCAGGTATTTCAGGTTGTCCCCTCTTGGACATGGTGCTGTTTCACGGTTGTTGGTGTTAAGGCTCTTATTGGTGGTCACCTCCTCTCCCTCTGTGCCGCTGTGTTAGGAACAACAAAAATATTTTTTCTGAGATAGCATCTGGATGCCAGGCTGGCCTAGAACCCACAGAGATCCGCCTGCCGCTGCCACTTGAGTGCTGGGATTAAAGGTGTGCCCCACCACTGCCTGGCTTAATTTTTATATTCAGGTTTTTTGTTTTTGTTATTTGTTTTGGTTTTTGAGACAGGGTTTCTCTGTGTAGCTTTGGAGCCTGTCCTGGAACTCACTCTGTAGCCCAGGCTGGCCTCGAACTCACAGAGATCCGCCTGGCTCTGCCTCCCGAGTGCTGGGATTAAAGGCGTGTGCCACCACTGCCTGGCCAGTTTTTATTTCTATTTATGTGTCTTTGTGCCCCACATGCAGCAGAGGCCAGAGGGGCCATTGGGCCTCCTAGAACTGGAGTTGCAGGTGATTGTGAGCCGCCAGGTGGGTGCTGGGAACCGAACCTGGCGCTCTACAGAGCAGACCGTGCTCTAGCCACTGAGCATCTCTGCAGCCACTTCAGTATTTATTTATTTATTTTATTTTTTTTGTTTTTAGAGACAGGGTTTCTCCGTGTAGCTTTGGTGCCTCTCCTGGATCTTGCTCTGTAGACCAGGCTGGCTTCGAACTCACAGAGATCACTTTTTATTTTTTCACAAATGAGTCATATGCTCCTGGGGTACAAGTCTAGTGTCCACCTGAGCCCTTGGCATACGGTCACCTCGTTGCAGGTGTTTGCCTGCGTCTTCATAGCCCAGAGCATTAGACTCCCACAGGGGAAACTGAGGTGCAGTGTGACTAAGCTGTCTGTGGGCTGGGGCAGAGTCACACCCCCACACTACACATGTATTGAACCTACTGTGTGCAGCCCCTGGTATGGGGAGGTGCTCAAGATGGGCTCACGTAGCCCAGGTTGGCCTTGGATTTCTGATGCTCCTGCCTCTGTGTCGCGGCTGGGATGACAGACAGGTGTGGGCTGTGGGACCCCAGGAGTCCCAGGTGTTTTTTGTGTGTGTTTATCATATGTCTTTTTTTTTTTGTAACCAAGGAGTTTGTGTACAGTGTTGAAAATCTACAACTTCTTGTTAAATTGACATTTGTACTTCACCTTTTTAAACAAACATTTATATCATTATTTTATACAGATATAGATATGTAAACACATCGAGTTCAGCACACACACACTTCCTAAAATCTTCAGTAGTTTCTTACTCCTTAAAGTATAAAATGTGAACTTTTGCATTTTTGTACTGCAGTATCCCTTGGTCTGATTCCTTGCAGTGTGACTCCCTGTGTGGCTCTGTGCATTGTGCACCTTACTTCTGTGTACAGTGTTGTTAACCCTGTTTTGAGCTGTGATCCCATGTATCCCAGGCTGGGCTGGAACTTACGTAGCTAAGGATGACTTTGAACTTCTGATCCTCCTGCGTACAAGGGCTACTACCATCCAGGTTTATGCAGTGCTGGGGATTGAACACGGGCGTCCCAGGGTGGGTTGGCCAGTGTTTGTGGGCGCTGCTAACGTGTGTTCACTACCATTGGCATGACCGTCACCTCCCGTGGTGTGGCTGTCGACCAGGTGACCTGCTCTGTCCCTGGCATTCCTGGGTGCTGCCACCCCAGCCATTGGCTTCCTTCTCTGGGCTTCAGTTTGCCTGGTGTGACAGTGACAAGGGTTCAGAGCATCTTCTTGGGGTCCTCCCACCTGCACCCCATCCCTGCTGAGCCTGCATCCCTCGCCCTTGGGCCCCGGGAGAGAGGTGTCTGAAAACAGCCCAGTCTTGTAAGAACGCTATGGACACTGGCTGGGGCCGTGCTTGGCCAAATGTCTCCTTCAGAAAGGTGGCCACCAGCTGTGCAAGGCCCCTCACACCTGTCATCCCAGGAGGCTGAGGCAGGAGGGTCAGGAGTTCAAGGTCATCTTCAGCTACAAACCGAGTTCAAGGCTAGCTTGGCTACACGAGACTCTGTTTCAAAAGTAGTAATAATGAAGAAGAAGAAAAAAGAGAAATGTGATGTTGGAGTGAGACTTCCCTGTGCCTCAGTTTCCCCATATATGAGATGGGTAGCCTAGACACCAAGCTGAGCTTGGGGCCTGACTGCTGGGAACCCAGGTGGCCTGGGTCATCCCACTTGCCCTTCAGCAAGCAGTAGTGTCACAGTCTAGCCTGGGGTCCTGCAGGGCACCTTCCCTGAGGACCCCCCCAACTGCATCCAGGCCACTTGCTGGCCATTTAAGAGAAGACCCCCCCCCCCGGTCCCCCCCTCCCGGCTGGAACTGACTGAGCTTGGGGGCACTAGTGTGGTGTCGGGGCAGCCAAGGGCACAGGTGGCATTTGGGAGGCAGATGGGGTGCAGGGGGCAGATGGGGTGCAGGGGCCAGCTGCAGGTGGGGTGTAGAGGGTGGTTGGGGTACGAGGGGAGCCGGGGGTGTGCGTGGGATGTGGGGGGCAGAAGGGGTGTGGAGGGCAGCCCAGGGCACAGATGGGGTATGGGGGGCAGATAGGGTGTGGGGTGCTGTGTGGCGCAGGTGGAGCGGGGGTGTGGACAGGGTAGGGGGTGTAGCCGGGGGCACAGGTGGGGTGTGGGGGGCAGCTGGGGTGCAGGGTGCTGCGGGGCACAGGTGGGGTGTAGGGGC